CCTTAGGTATTGTTGGATTACCGGCGTTTTGTACTAAAATGCCCTTAATTTTTTTTTCTTTCAAAAATATCATTATTCTATCATTGAATAATAAAAATTCTACGAAAGTTAAATTACAAATTTATCCTTAAACTATTTTAGATTTACAAAAAAAGTCTATAATTAAATTTTTATATGAAGTTCAGGGGTTAAAATAAAATTTTACCATTTCATTAAACCTTTTTATATTTTCAATTTTGTAAAAAAATATATAAATTTTATGAATTTAATTTTTTTTTAAAAATATATATAAATATTTTACAACTTATTAAAAAAACAAATATATAATAAGGATAATTTGGTCAAATATACATTCCAATAATCTTTTATTCTTTTAACCAAACCTTACATTCCTACTAAACCAACCAAACACAAAATACAACATTCTCAGTAATCATATCCCCCGATAATCTTTTATTTCTACTAGTAATCTTATATTCCGTAAACCAAACACACCCTTAGTACATAGTAGCGATCTATAAAGTAAATTTGGAGTTTGCTGTCTCCATGTGGGCATAATCTTATTATTTATTACCAAACATCACGGCTAGGATCTAGGGATATGTTTGCGATAATAAATTATTAGTTCTTAACTTTTAAATTATTAATTTTTAGTTAAAACGTGAAAAATAATAACATGGATTTGCCCATAGTTTTCTTTTTGGGGGGTATATTAAGGGTAGATTACACTAGTTATCACTTAACTTTATTCTCTTTCCTATTTCATTTACTATACTTTAAATTTGTTTAATTTCATCACTGATTTTAATACAATTAACATTTTTGGTCACTCCGCGGTTAAATATTTAATGGCGTTAAAATGATGCCATTTTGGAAAAACAAACGACATCGTTTTACATCTATATAACAACTCATTTATAATGCCGTTTTGTGAGAAAACGGCTGAGTGAGAAAAAATGTTAATTGCGTTAAATTCAGTGAGGAAATTGAACATGTTTAAAGTAAAGTAAGTGAAAGAGTAGAAAGAGTAAAATTTAGTGATGATTGGTGTAATTTACCCTCATTAGTATGTGGTTTAAGTAGTCCTAATGATTTAAGACCATTTATTTAATTTTAAATAATTCCATTCGAAGTAAGGACGAAATTTAAACAATTTAAAATTATTTAACTTTAAATTATCAAATGTATAAATGATTATGGATCGGGGTGAATTGATTTTTCGGTCCATTAGACTTGAGTTTGGAACATTTTACTTGTTCTAAAACCAAACTTGATCTTAAGGTAAAAGAACCTCATTAAAAACTAGGGCAAAGTACATAAATAGTCCATTGACTATAGGTTACTATTTTATTAAGTCCCTCGACTATTAAAAGTTATAAAATAGTCCTCTAACTATATAGTGTTACTTTATCGAGTCCCTTGACTAAGTTACAAAATGGTCATTCGACTTCATTGTGATCTAAAATTGTCCTTTTATGCTAAAAATTAACTGTCGTCTGAGCTGAACATTAACATGATGACTAAGATATGATAGTCGTTTAAGATTCTAGGATCAGATTTTAACATATCACAATCAACATGTTAACGTTCAGCTCAGATTGTTGTTAGTTTTTTAACTGAAAAGGAGAAGTTTGGAATATAATGAATAATTAGGTGACCATTTTGTAACTTTAATAGTTGAAGGACTCAATAAAACAATATTTTATAATCAAATGTCCATTTTATAACTTTTAATAATCGAATAACTCAACAAAGCATCGTCCTATAAATGAGCATATAATCCACAATAATTTTTGGCCCAAACTATGTGAATCTTTTAATTACTTTAAATTGCTTAATTGGACCAAAGGAGGGGTGTTAGCATCCTAATTCAAGGCGGGCCATGAAGTTTCTCACAGCTGGGCTCTGTTTTAATTATATTTGTTTATCTTTTTAACACGTTTTAATTTTGTTTTATGACATATTTTACTCTACTTTTGTGACATGTTTTTATTTTATTTTATCGTGCATTATTCACTTATCTTTATGGTAGATATGTATGTAATCAATAATAAATTTAATAACGTAATTGATGAGTTTAAATCTTTGAATTTTTCTTTAGTTGTGGTCTTCTAAGAAGATAAATTTTCTCTTACCGTAAACATTCTCTGACACAGATAAGAGTAATGCAAGTTAACTTATTTCTCTAAGATCACTACCTCTTTATATAGAATGAATATTAGATCAATCTATTAAATATTTATAATTATACCCCGCATAAAATTATAAATACAACTTATACACTTTAATTCCATGACACTTTAGTCTTAATTAGTATCATTATTGTTGTAATATTTTAATTGAAGATGTCATAGATTAAATTTTAGAATTTAGGATTTACACATTTAAAAAAAATAAGATTTAGAGTCATTCAAATAAATATATTTAATGAAGTTTAAATTTTACACGATCTGTATGTTAAATATTTTTCTATTATATTTAAAATTTATGGGGTTACTATAGATAAGGTGAATAAATCTTGATACGACTCGAAGATCGATTATTCTTTTAATTTTGAGTTATTCAAGTTAATTAAAATTATCGATTAAAATTGAGTTCCAATCGATTTGAAATTTAAAAATTTTAAGTCACTCAAACAATAAAAAATTTGGTTAAACATTTTGACGATTTAGTCTACCTATTTAACTTCAATTCTTATTTTAACTAAAAATATACTCTCTTTTTAATTAGTCCCTCAATTTTAAATTTGATTCAATTTGGTCTTTTGACTGCAATTATTTGCAAAGTCTTTCTTTACATCAATTCCTTGACTCCTTTATACTCTCATCAATATTTTACCCTCAAAATACTTTCTTTAAAATATAATATTGTAAATATATTTTATAATTTTAGATTATATTTGATACGCTAAATAATATTATAATGTGAAAAAAATATGAAGATATATATATATATAGCATAAGTAGGGGTGTATTCGGTTCGGTTTTTCATTAAAATATGAATCGAACTACACTTTTCAGGTTTTTAAAAATGGGAACCGAAACCGAATGGTATAAAAACTACAATTTTCGGTTCGACGATTTTTGATAGTTCACTATTTTTCAAATTCAACCTCCAAAAAAACAAATTTAAAGCTTAAATCGAGTGCAAATATATAAATTTAAATTTATAAAAAGATTATTAGTTTTAATATTTTATTTATTTAAATTTTTATTATAATAAATTCAAAATGAATGTATTTTGGATACTTATTTTATTTTTTAATTTGATTTAATTATGTTCAAAACGGTTTTCATATGAAAAAATCGAAACCGAACTGAATTGTATATATATTTTTCGATTTTCTCGGTTTCATTGGTCAACCCTAGGCATAGGATCCACTTACACTATGTAAAACTTCACTAATTTATAGCCATTACATTTAAATAAATAAATGACTTATATTTAATTAAAATTTATAACTCATTAATAAATATCTTTTAAATCATAACAAAACAATATCTATTTTTACCCCAATTTCAAATCTTAAACTCTAAACCTCAAATCCCAAATCTTAAAAGCTTAAACCCTAACCCTAAAAAGAAAAAATTCTATCTTAATGTGAGTTAAAGCAATATTTATTTATGAGTTTTAAATTTTGACCACTTTTTTCCAAATACGTACTCAAACAAAATTTTATTTAAAATTTAAAATTTTAAAATATTATTAGATTAAAAAACCCAAATTTTAAAAAAAGTTTAAAAAATCCAAAAACTTTAAAAATCCTAATTCCAACCCCTAAACTCACACCGACCGCCGCTCTTTACCGTCGATGAACTTGCACCTGATTATCGATAACCTCATAAGAAGTCACCAAAACATGAGCCAATCGACATATGTACCTCGACGAATCCTGACCCTACAAATTATGACCTCATGTGATCTCGATGCTTAATTCACAACAAGAATGCCGATGCCTAACTAGAAAGATCACAAGGACGAAGTCGACGGTGGTGGTTGTATGACTGCATATTAGGGTTAGTATTTGAAAATTTTAGGAATTTAAAACTTTTTGTAGTTTAAGAGAAATTAGAGTTACTTTTTAAATATAATAATATTAGAAAAAAACAAAATTCTTAAAATTATCATAATGTGTCATATGTCACTTAACGGTATTTTTTAATGGACATTATAATTGGACACCTAAAGTGATAACCTTTGCAACGTTAGATACTTAGATGAATCGAAAAAATTTGAACCCCTATTTGAAAAAACCGATATAGTTTGTATAATTATTTTCCATTTAAGCCAAATAATTATAATAAAAATTGTATAAAAATTTGAATAATTTGACTCAAATTTTTTAAAGTCGACGTGAAAAAATTTCAAATTAAATTTGATTCATATAATACAACTCATCAACTTAAATAAATCAATTTTTTACTCAACTTCATTTTTGTAAATAATTTATGTTTCATATATAGCCTCTGTAATATACACACAATTCCATGTTTTTGCTTGATGCAGGCAAGTTTTTCATTGCCAGTAGAATCCAAAACAAATATAAATAAACAAATGATTACAAGTTCCAAAACAAGTCATACAAATATTAAGATAACGATTTCTATATATATAATTTGTAGAACAATAGTTTTGATTATAATATCAATCTATCTATGCTGCCCATTTCTTTCTTGACCATTCAAACCAGATCTGGTCATAGTAATAATAATAAACCCAGAAAACAAATCAAGCCGGCACCTAATCCATTCCGTTTTATTATTGTCTCTTTGAATTGAAATATCAATTTCGTTTGTTACCTTTCATTTTCCGTCATTTTCTCACTTCCCAAACAGAATAAAAATAATTATGCAAAGCAAATTTAAATGGAGAAAATGCACAACTGTGTCCATTTTTTTTGAAAAAAAGTATGATAATATGAACAGATTATACAAAAATGGAACAAAACACGAACACACGCCGTTAGATCTAACTACTACTTTTCGTCTTCGTCTATGAAACTAAACCGGCACGAATGACTCACAACATAACGGTGCTGCTGGATGCTGCCACATCTTGAACACAAGCTTCTCGGGCTCCGTTCTCTGGATCTGTCGCGGCTGGTGTTCTTCACGAGGTGGCTCTTGCCTCCGATCAATCGAGGGAGGCGAAGATGCGAGCGGAGATAAGAGAGGGATCGCAATTTTCCAGCTGGAGGCAGGATTGATCTTTAAGGAAGCAGGAGCACGATATTGAAGTCGGCCGGACCGCCGCATGGAGCCACCGTTGGCGGCGGTGATTTTGTTCGACGATGTTGACATGGATGATATTTTAGGATTTCCGACGAGAGTTAATAATTTCTTTTTTTTTTTGGTTGAATAGAGTTTCAATCGATGCATTGCTTTGGTAGGGCTTTTATACGAAAAAGAGGGGGGAGTGGATAACACGTGAAAAGGATAAGCTTAGCTGGTTCAACTTTTTTTCTTTGACTTTGACTGAATTTTTCTGGAACATTCCTTTTTGGCCTCAAGTGTTTCTATTTTTTTTACTATTTTTTAAAAAAGTAAATTTTATTGATATGCAAAATTTAAAATTTTATATTATTTTTATAACTCTTTTTATGGCTTTAAATTTTGACTAAATTGAATTTTTTAATCAAATTAAAAGATTAATATGAAAAATGTTAGGAACTAAATTAAAAAATGCCAAGTTCAAGTATTAAATATTATAATATGAGCGTAATTTAAAATATTAATATTTTTAATAATTTTTATTTAAAATTCTCTTTTATAATATTTTCAATTCAACTAAAAATATTAAAAAAATTAATAATTTATACTGCATCCAACAAAAATTTTATAATTTTTATAATATTTTCAGTCACAACCTATAAATATACATATGCACTTAAAATATTTAGGGTTAATTAACGGTTAGGACATCAGTTACGTGGTCAATTGCAAGCCTTGTCTTACTGATACGTTTCTGGCCCATATTTTTTTGTTTTTATTTTTTTGTCCACCGTGTCATTATGATTTTATTTGATTCCACGTATTTCACAACTAACGGCAGTTTGCTATTTTTAATAAAAAAATATAATATAGACTTTTATTTAATTAATATTTTTAGAAATATTTCCTTTTAAGTTAAAAATATTTTATTTATTATTTCCTTTTTGCATTAAGAAAATTAGTTTGATTTTATGACTACTTTAATTCAGTCAAAAGATACTGTTGAATGTTGATATTGAATAGTCAATCTTTCTTTTTAACGAAAAAGAGAATAATTGTCATTCATAATAACCAGAATTTACAAAAATGAGCTTCAAATGGACTATAGACTAAGAAGTCCCCCGTAAAAGCAATGTTTGCATTTTAGTCCCTCTCTTAGGCATTAACAAAATTAGAGGGTTATATATAATCATCTGAAGAGCATTTTGAGCTTTTCAATCCTAGCTGATCTGACTTCTTCATCAGTTAAAGCACCTGCAATCGTCTTCTGCTTCCTTGCCTGAACTTGTTGCATCCTTTCTTCAACTGTTTCTTGGGATCATATCATTTGTTCATCTCAGTTTGTGTTCATTAATGGAAGAAACCCAGAAAATAACATATTTGAGAGACTGAAACTCACCTTAACAATGAACCTTCTAACAGTGACTGTTTTCTTTTGTCCGATTCGATGGATTCGCATGATTGCTTGTTCCTCAACTGCAGGATTGCTTGGCCCTCAACTGCAGGATTCCACCAGGGATCCTACAAAGGGATGATCATAAATTTAGACCAAAGCATAAGAATTTGATTCTCTTGTTTTCTATATGTTTTGTAATATTACCATTAAGAACACATTAGATACTGCAGTTAGATTCAGGCCTACCCCACCAGCTCTTAAAGACATCAGCAAAACTAAAAACAGGAAAAATGATTTACAAAAAGAATTGATTCAATGATTTAATCAGAATTCTTGAGTTGGGGGCTTTACCGTTTTCTCTCGTGTCATAGAACTCTCTCAGAATTTTTGGTTGGACATGTTATGAGATCAGTTTTTGTTGAAGAATCGGGCAATATGCTTACGTCCTCGGTGTCTAGGCGGCGCTAGAAATTTTATTCAATATCTCATAGGTATCTCTATTTATAATAGAAAACCTAGTACATAATTATAAAATTAACCATGTATCATACATCGTAACCCCTGCTAAGAGACTTTTTTTGTAAGGACAGTTGATGTTCGCTTCGCTCACTCCGGTCCATCCCTGTCCTCTTTACCGATATATTTATGAGTCATACCTTACAGTTTTCTTCAGCACTGTCCTACAAATTGGACATAATCCAACTGTTGGTGTCCGCCAACTCGAGAGGAGACATTCCCTGCACATCCGGTGTGCACAGGGTGTGAGGACAGGATCATCCGCAGACTCCATGCATATTGGACATTCCGTGTTTTCAACCCTCCGGATACCGTCAACAACTTCTTCGATGTACGCTTTGGTTGGGGCATTTTGAGTTGGAGTAATGGAATCAGAGTGAATTTCAAGGAACCTTCTTGCAAGTTTGTTCAAGTCTGAATACTGCTGTGAATCAGCTCGACTGCATACATCCCGGGTTCAAAAAAGAACGGTTAGAACAGGTGGTTGCAACATTGCCTCGGTCGACGTTCATGAAATACATTACTTACCTCATAAAAAGAAAAGCGTGGTTGCAACATTGCCTCAGTCGAAGTAATAACTCAAGAATGGATGCATAATTGTGAAGGACCTTGCCTTGTGCAACAAATTGATCAAATTGAACTTGTTTAAATCAAACACAGATGTTTTAGCTTTCATCCCAGCTTATTTGAAACTCGAAAAAGCAAGAAATTGTATAGATACATGGTACACCTACTTTAGATCTTTTGAATAGAGGATCATAGAAATCGCGTTCAGCTTCTGATTGCTCACACTCAATGGTTTGAATATCAGTTGGAGGAAGAACAAGAATTGGCCTAAAGACATCAAATACATGAAACATCAAGATCCTGAATGATGATTTTCAGGGCGGAGGAAACTAAGAACCGAAAAGGTTGAATGGGGCTTAGAGGTGCTCACCTTCCTTCCTTATCCTTTGTTTCCTTCGTTCTTCTCTACGTCAGCAGCCGTAATATAGCTTTGATCAATTTTAATCCTGTTGGATTACCATTCTCATAAGGCCCTTGAATCTTTGCCTTCCACCTATATAAATGCAAATGACACCATGAACAGAGAAATACATAAAGTTATTTGAACTTGTTTATACCATGCCCAGTTGCACCATGGTTCCACATGCAAGAAGCACAGTAGGCTATAGAAATCTTCAAAATTGTTCTGCAGGAAACAATGACGAAGAAAAAAAAATTAAGCACACGACTATCATGGAAGAGGAAAGAATTAAGGGCTAAAGCAAACCTAAGTGGGGTTCCAGTGAGACACCAACGACAGTGTGCAGACAATCCAAAGCAAGCTCTAGCTCCTATCGTTTTTGAAGATTTAATTGTACGAGCTTCATCTAAAACCACCCTATACCAGTCAACCCTGTGGTGAATGATGTTTCCGGCATCCTATATCAGAATGTCCACATAATTCAGTCTAAAGAAGAGTAACTTACAATTTAAGACATGCATAGGAATATTTTGGAGTAAAAACTCGTCTCAGCGCAGATGATAGCTAAACAGAATTCAGCATTCTCTTACACTTTTATAAGAAGCAGTTAGGACCCCATATGTTGTCAAGACAACATCATGCTCGGAAATCACCCTGGGATTGTTGGTTCTTTCACCACCATCGTGAACAAAAATAGATAGGGTTTCAGGTCTTGAGTGAGTTTCGAGTTCATCCTGAGAATTTCACTAGAATTCATTAGATACCACATCAAAATTATTGTCACAAGGCAAGTAACAATCTATCATCCTTTAACTCTCGATGTGAGAGGGAATAAGAAATTACCTTCCACTGGCTTAACAAAGCCATGGGACAAATAATAAGAGTGTTTCCCTTTGCTCTGCGTGGAACATTTCCATAAGCATCTTTCTTGTATGAGGTCCTGCTATCATCAGCTTTTCTCGAAACCGTTTTTTCATTATCGGGATTTCCTTTACCAAGCCTTGAAAGAATTAGAGCAATTGTCATCACAGTCTTTCTGAGACCCATTGCATCCGCTAGAATCTGCGAATATTCTTGTCTAGTTAGAGCCGAAAAATACTATAATTGCGAGGACCAACCCAATAAAAAAGGATTAGAGTAACATACTCCTCCTATTGCCATCTGCCTAGCACATGGGAAATGAACTATGGCTTCTCCAGTGAAGACATTTACATAGATTGAGGAAGCCCTTCTGCTAGAAAGAAAGCATGCTCAAGTTACTGATTACATCACTAAATAGCTAAATGCTTTATCAAAGTTCACAATTAAAACAATATACATACTATTGTTCTTCGATCAAAACACCCATACAAGGGATGCTATCCTTGTGATTTTTGCGGTGAAAACTGTGAGTTCTTTGTTTATCATTGCTCTTGTCAAGTAGACTTGCATATCAAATGTGCTTTATTTACCCTAAGCAGAGCCGAAAAGAAACCTGAAGGGCTTAAACACATAGCCACCACTGATCCACCAGTGGTCCCGGGAGTGGGTAACAAATCACTTGAAAACCCTGTGTGTTTTGGGTGTCGGGAACCATTAGGAGAGTCCACACACTTTTATACTGGTTGTGGGTTCAGCCTACACAAGAAATGTGCCCAGCTACCCCATGAAATCAACCATCCCTTTCACAAACAACACCCCCTTGTTCTACAGTTAATGGTGAACGTTTCTCTTGCAACATATGCCAGCAGACACGATATAGGGGATTTCTTTATTGTTGTTCACCGTGTAAGCTTGCTCTTCACATTAAATGTGCCCAAATACCTCATGAAATCAACAATCCCTTTCACAAACAACACCCTCTTGTTCTACAGTTTAATGGTGAACGTTCCTCCTGTAACATATGCCAACAGACACGACAGAGGTAATTTCTTTATTGTTGTTCACCGTGTAAGTTTGCTCTTCACATCAAATGTGCCGAGTTACCTCCTATAATCAGTAACCCCTCCCATCATAGACACCCTCTTGTTTTACAGTCCAACCATGAAAATATACCTTGCAAGGCATATCCAGAAACCCAAAATCCAAAATTTGTTTATTCTTGTTCACCCTGTAAGTTTGCTCTTCATACTGAGTGTGCAACACGACCACCTTTCATTAAGGGAAAATATCATCAACACACATTTACCTTGTTCTGTAAACAAGCTTTTTCGTTCATTTGCGATGCATGTG